GAATGGACACTTGAAAATGTGGTTCTTCAGGATCAATAACTTTAGGAACAGAATGCCGGACAATCAAGGTTTGAATTGTTGGGTTTGGTTTTTCAGTGGGGTCAACAGCAACAGACTTAACATCAGTATCTTCTTCCAAGCCTTCACAAAGTTTGGAACTTTCAATATACTTTAAAAGCCCTACAATATCCACATGTATGACCGAACGCTTGTTTTCCACGTATACAAAGTTCTGGTCAGGTACCAACCAGTTGAAGACAAATACACTGAATTCCAGCGCCGAATTTACAATAACTGTATACTTTGGAATACTGTGAACATCGTCATAATATTCCAGTCGCACTTCATCGTTGTTTGACTTCACAATTTTCCACGGTTCGATTTCCTTTCGCTGCAACTGTTCAGTAAAGGTGTTAATATCGAGTAATGGCGGCGTCTTTGGAACCTCGAGTTGCTTTCTTTCAAGAACACGACGTTCTTGTTTGGGAGCGTCGTACTTTTTTTGAGGTAGATTCTCAGTAGGAATACTCCCAGCCACCAATGTCTTTCGTTTTCCTATATAATATGCAAATTTTCAGATATTAAAAATGCTGAATTAACAACGCCTTGTATGCTAAATCCTGGTTGATGAATATTTTAAAGCGAAGATACGTACAGATGTGGCAAAAACTTACCGTCTAATATACATTCTGCCTTAAAATGTAGCTCACAGATGTAAATGTTATTCGCCTCTATTCTGGCTTTTAATTCTGGCGTCAAAACTCTCGTTCTTTGTATTAAACGAAGCCATTCTTCACGGGTTTTTCTCTTCACAGACTTTGTGTAATCAGTATCTGCCGCGCCAATTGTTGGGATTTTGAACAGCGAAAGTTTGTGGCTTCTGCTCGTCGAACAACCATAAAAAGCGCAATTTGCGCCAGGCATATCCTTCAAAAACTTTAAACCAAATAAATAAATTCGCCAGACCACGCACAATGCTTTTGTCTTCACAACGAAGTTAGCGATACAGTATGTGTTTATAATTTGTAATTCGAGCTTTCAGCGTCTTTAAACCGGATGCACCTTATTGTGCACGTGACTAAATTACAAGTGGCCGCAACATATTCCGTGACGTCACGAGTTAGCCTAACCATCCCCTTCAATTAACTGTGATCGAAGCGACGCGATTTCTGTACTGGATTGGCCCCTTGTTTACACTACGCCACTGTAGTGGCATAGTGTATTTTAAAGGTGATCTACAGTCCGTATGTAAACAAAGCCTTTGTTTACATTTTTGTGTCCAAAATATTGAGCTTTATTCGACAACTATTTATATTTTCAAGCTTCTAGAGTATAATAAATGATCAATAAACAACAATCAGGCTTTTCAAGAACTCAAAACATAGTTAAACTGTTTGTATCGTAAAAAGTGGGCTCATTTGTGCACATGCGCAGATCGGACTGTAGATCACCTTTAACATTGTCGTTTTATTTACTCGCTTTTAAATATTTTATAGCTGTTGTTTGCTTCGCTTTACATTTATTTATTATTTCTAGCGAAGACAAATAAAGATAGCGGTAATAACATTGACTTCTTGCTTTCAAAAGGGCAAAATTTAATCAAATACTCGTCAATTTTCGATAAGAGCGAGACAAAGCAACGCCGGGTGGTCAAGCTTTGTAAACAAAGTTATAATTCACAAGTATACTGTCGAGAAAACGTCCAAAATGGTCAAAACTTATTATTTGTTTCCGTGGCAACGATAAAAGATACGAGCTGGCAACAGAGCGAAGCGGCATAGTGTAAACACCCTTGATTTTGGCTTCGGTGTGAAAATTGATCCGGTATGAAAATCAATCCGGTATAACCACTGAGTATTCTAATAAAATACAAAACAATGGAAACTCCGAAGAAATTCATATTTTTAATTAAAAATTTAAAATTCTTCGGAGTTTCCATTGTTTCGTATTTTATATATAATATTATATATACCGGGTGTCCCAAAAAAAAGTACTCCAGTTTGATTCGTAATAACTTCTAAACAGGTAAAGCTTTCAAAGAGAAATAACTTGCATCAAAATAGGGGAAGGACTAACTTAGATTTTGATATATTACAGTTGTATTCCACTTAAAAATTCACGGAGATATTAATGTTTAAAATCGGGAGCATATTTTTGAATGTGTCTGAAATATGCAAAAAACGGCGTATCAAAATTAATCAAAATTTGCCCGACTGAAACATGCACTATTACCAGTAAATAAATGACACTTGAGAAATTGTTTATTATGAAACAAAGTATTATTATATCTACAAAATACAAGCAAGATTTATTCGTCCGAAATCCGCGTTCGTTCCTAGCACGAATACGTTTCCTTATTTCATGAGATCACTGCATTGCGAAGGATCGTCATGAATCGTTCGTAGTTCAGAATTAGGGCATGCTGTCACAATGGAATTGTGAAGCTCTTCTAACTTCTGCAACGTTCTGATATCTTGTTAAGAACACCCGAACTCTTTTGCCTTTTCTTAATCTTGGCAAGTTCAGAATAAACAGAGAATGAAACACAATCAAACCATACAACTCCATAAGACATAACAAGCAACTCCCCGGAGACATCCAACATTTTTGGAACAAAACGTAACAAAATAGTAGCGTTGATACTGTGATGTGTATTTGCAAAAAGCAATATTATTTCCTTCATTAAAGAATAATATTCATCTTGCTATAACCAAGAAATAATCAACTGTTTTGAACCCATGAAAAAAACATAAAAAAATTAGGCTATTTAAGAAAAGCTATTTAAGCGCCTGCCTTGCATGGTCTTTCATCTACTTTTAAGTTTGTAAAAACCTATTAAATACTTGCATAATTTCGAACGTTCATATTTCAGGAAACAATGAGCTAAGACTTACAAGTAAGTGTTATGTAAGATGTATAAATCTACGCCATATCTCTTACAAACCCTAACGAGAATTCGCTGAAATACAAGTTAGCCTGATATGTCATTAAGCAGACAAACGCTGGAGTTAATATTTGATATGCCGATTTTCGCTAATTTTAGACACATCCCAAAATAAGCCACCGATTTTGAACATTAATATCTCCGTGAATTTTTAAGTAAAATACAACTGTAATATATCAAAATCTACGTTAGTCCTTCCTCTATTTAACGCAAGTCATTTCTATTTGATAGCTTTACTTGTTTAGACGTTATTATAAATCAAACGGGAGTACTTTTTTTTGGGACACCCGGTATGATTTTGACAGATCTGACAACGTAATTGTCTATCTTAAAATTAACGGTAAGTACTCAGACTTTTACGGCTGTGTTTCACACCTTCGTCTGCTTTGCGGAATAATAATTTAGCCAATTAAGCGCATACAGTATACTACAAAGAAGTAAAAGAACCTTGTATATAGGCTATATCAAGTTGCGATATTAATTGCCCCAACATTATCAGTTTATTTATTGCCGGTTATTAAAGCAGGGCGCTTTGTTTTAAAGAGCCCTGCTTAGTATGTAATATACTGTAGTTTGTGTAGAAAATAAACAATATATAACTGATTGTATTGCTGTCTGCACGGCTGCATGCAAATGCATCAGGACGCAAAGCCACGCTGTGGCATATTGGTTATTGGTACATTTAAAACGCAGAATACGCCACGTGCCGTTACTGCCGTATATAGTATATGTGCGTGGAACGCATATTATAGGTTTGGTTATATTTGGTTTAGAAGTGCTCATATAACAATACTGCCGAGAAGACACGTTGAGAAGACACGTCGTTATGGCCTTATCCAAAGCAGTTACCTGACCTTAATATTGTATTTTTTTTTGTCACAACTTTTAACCCTCGACTTTTCACGACCGTTTAACCCTCGACTTTTTACCCTCGCCCTCGACTTTTTACCCTCGCCCTCGACATTTACTGTAACCCTCGACACTCGACCAATAAATAAACTCATCAATTGCGGGTTAATTATATCAGATTATATTTACTCTCATATGTCAAAGGTCAAAACCATAGTCAAAACAAATACCCTGTTCACCTGTTGGATCATCGATATGGTTCCAGAAACAGCTGGAACAAATACAGTCGAACCTGGATCGCTTGAACCTGTGCTTGAACGCGTTCACCTTTCACACAGTTTTTGCATCTACTGATTTTCAATCAGTAGAAGCATTGCCAGGACGTACGTCCGTGGATGTCGCAAACAGACAGGTGATGATGTATTGATGACGTATTGATGTAATGCATTGCGAGCATAGAAATTGCGAGCTAAAGTCGGTTATCTACGGTTAGTTCCGCTGTTGTCCATAAATGGTTTTGCCAATAACACGAGTACAATATGAAGAATGCCGTATAACTGCGCGAGAGGATGAGTGGATGACGACTTTGTGTATCATATTTTCGGTTCAGTGGCAGTGCACAATCGAGAGGATGACGACTTTGTATGTTCATATCTTCAGTTCAGTGTACATATGTTTTGGTCATTATCAACATTGTAGCGATTTATGATCAAGCGAGATCGTATATTATCAAATTACGCAATTGCCTAAACTCTTTCTCGACGACTTTGTATGTTCATAGCTAAAAAGTCTGTTAGATAAACTTCAAGTTAATAACGAACTAGATGCTGATAAGATTAGAGTTGATTATGCTGATATTTTCCAAGAGTCAGAAGATGCTGAAAGTCTAAATTTATCATCGTTGGATCTTTCGGAAATTTTGTGGGATGTTTCACTTTTGTCTACCAACGAGAATACGATGAAGAGCGACCACCCAAAATACAAACCCATAAAAGCCAAATCCAAAGTTAAAGTTTGTACAAACAAGAATACATCGAAGACAAAGTTATCGACAACACCATCAGCAAAGGTCGCTAAACAACAAAACATTAACATAAATAATATTCAAGAATGTGCGCAACGTGTGTCAAATCTCGAAGAAGTTGTTGCACGTATTGATAAGGAAGCGGTGAACTCCGACGCCAAATTAAGTTCTCTTAGCGATACCCTTTTTCAAAGTTTGGCAGATAGAGTCCAAAATGAAATGTCAATTCTGAGGAAAGCTTTTGACGAAAAAGTTTTGCAATATGATGAACGTACTAACAAAGCTGAATTGGAAGTAAAAAAATTGCAAGGACGCCTTGGATCTTTGATCGAAGAGAAGAATCAATTATCCAAAAAAATTCGAAGTTTGGAAAAGTCAAATAAATCATTATCAGACCAAGTTGAAGAACTACAAAATAATGCAAAAGTTGATGTAGTGCAGGAGAACCGGGAAGTGTTGTTCAGAACGAGCTAAATATCAATGTAACGGACAGAGATGAATCCGAGGTCCTAATAACTAAAGAAGAAAGTGGTCCTATTTTGTCTAAAGAAGCACATCCTTCAGAAAGCGGTGATCCCAATGAGCAAACTGTTGAAAACCAAGGCGGAAAAAAGGTGAATGATCAAGAAAGTTTGGAAGAGTATGATTTTGTCTTTCTATGTGATTCCAACAGAAAATTCATCAACACACAGCTGTTATGCCCTAATAGTACGGTAAAAATCATCCCTTGTGGTACTTCCAGTCAAGCAATTAAAATCATATCTTCACCACGTTTCCAGGTTAACGAAGCGCTTGTAATAAACACAGGTGTTAATGACGTGGAAAACTTAACGTTAGACGAGGTTATTCAGAAGCAGTTAGAGATGGTAGATACAGCTAGGAAGGCATTCCCAGGAAAAAAGATCATTGTTTCGAGTGTTACTCCACGAGATGACGATTTTGATGAAGACATTCGGGCAATAAACCGAACAATCCAAAGTGAAATTTCAAACTTCGCTGATGTTATTTATGTGAACAATGATAATCTACGAGACAGAGCATTGTATTTTGACCGTAAGCACTTAAATAGGAATCGGGGTGTTCGTAAGTTTGCAGCGAACATCAAGAAAGCAATTAGAGTGGCAAGTGGTGTTGTGGACAACAGGCCACGTTATGCATCCTATCATAGTGATGATCTGCATCAGATCCGACCTGATGATCGTGCTCCCTTTCTTATATTGGGCTCTTCGTAGCCAAGCCAAAGCTCCTTTACACATGCCACAGCAGTGTAATAATAAAGAAAATGAGTATTTTCACTTGATTCTTCTCCGTTTAATGATGTCAATTAAATTTGTAAAAAACATGTATACCAATATGGCCATACGTTATCTCCCATGCAGATGATTCCGAAGTGTCTAGCAGTACCACTGGTTGCAGCCGCTAAACATATCGGTGAGTTCTCAGTGGAGTGCATTGGTGCCTAAATTACTTTGAATTTGTACTCGAGTAAAAGTAGAAGTAATTAACTATAAAACGACTTGAATAGCAGTAAAGAGTACTGGAGGTAAAACGTACTTAAGTAAAAAGTACAAAGTATCCTTAAAAAATACTTGAAGTAAAAAGTAAAAGTATCATTGTTTGTAGCGTGTAGAGGGGGGCTTCTCCAATGGATTGATATACAAAAGACACAAAACAGCACACGCAATATATGCGTGCACTTATATGCTTACAAGTAAACCACAAACCAGAGATCCCATGCAAACGCATATAGAGGTCCTATTACCTATCCCAAAATTAAAATAAAATCCGGAATAAATCACGTAAAATTAAACAAAAGTTAGAAAGTAACGAAAGATTTCGCCACAAAATGAAAATAACGAAGTAAAACGTTACTTCTTAAAACAACTTCGTTCCAAGTAAAATTACTCCAGAAAAAGTTTACTTTGTTACATGAGGACTTTGAAAAGTTTGAAAGGTTCTATATATCTAGAAGAGCTTTCTTTACATGGGCCCAAAACAAATGTAAGAGAATTCGATTTCATGCATTTGGTTTCAAAATAAAAAAATGGCATGCATAGTTTGATCTTTGGTGAATTTGGATTAATCTCGAACGGTCTGTGACAGTGTATCTAGTGGCGATAGTAAGAAAGCTGCGGATTTATAGGGATACAACTACCTGAAAAATACAAAGAGAACTTCGACGTTTCGAACGAATTGCTCTTTGTCGGAAGTTAAGTAACTTCTTGGACCTTTGCTCGAAACGTCGAAGTTCTGCCTGTATTTTTCTGCATGGTGGTTGTATCCCTATCAATTTTTCATTTTGATTAAACATGTTCTATCACTTCTATGCAATCAATTTCTCGCTTGTGAATTAAAAAGTGTTAGCTTTGTTAGTGCTAACTACAGTTTGTTCATTGGCATCGTGATTATTGGTATAATCAAATATTATACAGTATTTGAAAAACACTATATGAAATAAGAAATTGTTCATTGTGGATCTAGGTGGATGCCCTGTTGTGTCATTGTGGCCAAGTATGCTTAACAATTGGAAAATTAAAGATGAAACAAGGTACGAGAATTGCGATATTCAGACAAGATAAAGCCTAGTATATACGTATGTACCTGAAGAATATTTCAGATTGAAGAATATTTCAGATTTATTCAACTTTGTTTATTCTGTTTTTTTGGGTTTTTTTCGTATCATACCAAAGACCTTTGGATTTAAGGTAATTATTACAGCCTTTACCATGGGTTTCCACACCTTTCCCAGTGTGGACACACTCAGAGAGTTCAATATACATTAAAGGTGATGTAAAGTCCGTAATGTAAACAAACGCTTTGTTTACATTTTGAACTCATTGTTACAGTTGTAAAATATGATTAGATATTTATTATACTGAATTTTTAACACTTTTCTGGTTCGTTATGCTTGTAAATGAATACAGACTAGAGATTCAATTCAAGACAGTTCGGAAAGAGCGAAATATTAACAACATTCCAAAGGTTGCTCCCAACACCGCGGAAAAACGTCTGCGCATGCACCAAATTATGAAAATATGGCGGGTAATTTGAATATCAATTTCTAAAACAAAAACATGCTTATTAATTGGTAAAAAATTAGTAAAACAAACGAGAAAATATAGCAAATGGGTAGACTAGACATTAATTGAAAACGTCCTGGCATTTAAAGTATGGAATGAAATATAATTCATATAAAAAATTGTTGATTTTAACGGACACGACTTCGAAAATTTTTGCAAAATTATTCAAAACAAAAATTCAAACTAAAAAGTTAAGAAAACTCTCGAAAAGTTAAGCTTCTTAACCCACTCAAATTGTAGAATAAATCCTATAGTTTAATTATTGTGAACACGAAAATTTTTTATATTTGGCGACATAGTTTTTTTTAAAGAAATGTATCTCAAACGAAAATTCGGAAATTGTCGTTGCTTAGTTGATAAACAAAATGTTTCAGACGATAAATTTGTCAACAATCACCTTTAGTTCATGTTCTTGTACAATACAATTCCTTGAACCTTCTGGCTGTATTTATTCCTAGTTTTTAGAATGACATGTTTATTTTTGCGCTCGAAATCTGGCTGTAAAGACGCACAATGAAGTCACTCCTTTTTACCGCCATTTTGAGCCTTCGGAAACGTTCGGAACAGCTTCTCAGCAAGTTCGTAATAGTATTACAGGTAAGGTTGACGCATGCGCAGACGTTTTTCCGCGGTGTTGCTCCCCCACTGATGGAATGTTTTGATGTGCAGAATATATGCGCAGAACGGACTTTACCGCACTTTAAGTGTTTAAGTACTGTTTAATAAACGAGCAGGAGTGTTTTATTAGGTTTAAAGACACGAGCGCGCAGCGCGAGTGGCTTTAAACCTAATAAAACACGACCTGCGAGTTAAACGGCTTCAAACACGACTATACAAATTCAATAGATATACCGCCTTATTAGTATTCTTTATATAAAAAATATTAATGAGGACACGACAACAATAGGTACTGCCTTATTAGTATTATTTATATAAAGAATACTAATTAGGAGTGTTTTATCAGGTTTAAAGCCACTGCACGTGACATATTATAGTTGACATGATTTGCCAATAAGCTTATGAATTATTAATGAGTGTTTGAAATATATTTAAAATACTCATTAATAATTCATAAACCTTGTGGCAAATCATGTCAGCCATAATATGTCACGTGGAGTGACTTTATATCTGATAAAACACATGTGGCTTTATATAATTGTTCATCTTAATTAGCATGATTATGCTGTGGTTCATCCTAATTAGTATTCTTTTGTAGTCGTATTTTAAGCTATTCAAAACACTCGTTGTCGTGTTTTATCAGATATATAACGCTCGGCTGCGCCTCGCGTTATATATCTGATAAAACACTCCTACTCGTGTTTTAAGTAGTACTTAACTCTCCGAGTGTGTCCACACCGGTTACTGCGGTGGGAATAGAACCAGCGAATTTTGCCGGTTTGCTGGTCCATTGCTCTACTGGTCCATCGCTCTGCTAACTCAGCTACGAGGCTACACCGGTTCGATTGGATGATATTTTGGAACTCAGTCTAGTTTGATATCAGTACATGTTAATGATTACGCAATGATTGTGCTGTTGTTAACTCCATATAAATTATTCGATAAATTTCTTACAGAAATGTGGAGATGCAGTCTTTATATACCGGGTCAAAAGACGAACTTTGGTTCTTTTTAATTCACTGGCAGATAGAAATGCAATCTGTACCTGCAATTAAGGTACGTCCATTAATGTTTCACCTCTCACGGCCAGAGCAGCATTCAACAACCAACACTTCCCTGAAAGTGTGAACCAAGAAAACACAAAGAACCTAACATTTAACTGACTGACAAACTAACTTACTAACTAACTAACGAACAACCTATTTACAGGCCTGCCGAGAGGGGGAGGCAAATTGCCCCGGGCCCCGACTCATGGGAGCCCGTAGTCATTTTTTCGGGCGAAATATTTCTTTTTTGCGGGCAACGTACCGCAATTTGGTATGGAAACATTAAATTAAAACGTTCTTGTCCGGAAAATTTTTTCCCTAAAAAGTTGTCGACGGGGGGGGGGGGGGCATAGGAGCCCCCGAAACAAATTGGCTCCGGGTCCCCGAAAAGCTCTCGGCGACCCTGCCTATTTAACAAACTAAATAAATAAATAATAAAATCATTAACCTACTAAACACTCCCAGTCACCTAGATAACTGGCTTAAAACAGCTTACAGTAACCAACTAACCATATAACCAATTGACAAACTAATTAATAAATGTATCCATCAATTTCTAGAGCGTGGTTGCTGCACAAAAGGTAAACGGTACCCTTCAGACTATACAAGCTCTACTGATTGAAAAAGTACAGCTAGTTTGCTATATTTTTCAATAAAGTATAATTTCCCCGTTGATATTGAATCATCCTCTTCTTCAAATCACTATCTTTTAATAATTAAGATTAAAAATCATCTGCCACCTGGAAAATATTTTCAAAATCTGCAATTATTATTTTACAGGCTGTCTTAGATGATAATCCAGAATTACTGTGTGCATGTTTGACTATAATACAAAAGACATTTCAGATCGTGAAAACATCATTGAAACAACTTTATGGTAAGAGGAGGAGTATACATTATTTAATTTGGCATAATAAAGATTTTTAAAATAAGCCCTTATTATCCGCGAATGCATATGTTTTATAGCTATTATCAATACTGTATTAATATACATCTTCATAAGTTCGTCATTACCTCCATCATTTTCTTCACCATCTTCTTAATCGTCATCATCATTGTCATTATCACTAAAGTCAACATCATCTTCATCATCATGACCTCTTCCCCCATCTTCATCATCATCATCTTCAACACTTTCATCATCACAGTGCCTTTTTTAAGGAATTTTCACTGGGGGGCAAAACAGGGAAAAAAGGCAGAACGAAAAATATGAGCCGTCGAGGTTTGGCAAACGCGCGAGTCTGAAGAGAGAGTTTGTAAAACTTTAATTTATTAACTTCACCTATATTTTACTTTAAACAATAGCTATAATCGTACAGCTATAACCAGTGGCGTAGCCAGACCTTGATTTTTTTTTTTTGGGGGGGGGGACCTCACGCCGAAGTCGTGAGACCGTCTAGGAGGGTCCGGGGGCATGCACCGCCGGGAAAATTTTGAAATCTAGGGTCCCTGAATTGCGATTTCAAGCATTTTGGAGAGAAATCTAGCAGAATTCCGAAGATTATAAAGTACATCGAAGACATGAATTTTTCCAGACATTTCTACTCGGAATTAAATAAATTGGAAAAGTCACCTTGAAAAATAGGAGGAGAGGTCAGTGTCACCTTATTTTCTCTCTGTGATGCTTAGGTTCTATGAGACACCATTTCCGCATTCTCAAAATTGCGTTGCTTTTTCATACGATACAGATTAAATCTGAGAAGAAATATTCATGCTATGGTGATGCATACATGTATTTAACAGTTAAAACTCTAAACTAAATCTATTCTTCTTGGAACCAGCATTTTATCGGATTGTTTGCATGAAATCTATCGCTATTATGAAATACTCGGTGAAGAACAATATGAATTACACACAAGATGGCTGTGGAGGAAGCTATGGAAGGGCATAATCTCATTATCAAGTAAATCAACGGCAATTCTGACAGCAATCATGAGCAATTCTGCTTCGCACTTCGGGGGCAGAAATGGCTTTACTGGGGGGGGGGGAATTCTTTCCCGGGGGGGGGGCAATTGCCCCCCCAGATATATAGTTAAAAAAGGCACTTCATCATCATCATCTTCATCGTCACTTTCATCATCATCTCCATCATGATCTGTATCACCCGAAGTTGGCTTCGGTGGTGCACTATAGGAGCTTCGGTGGCACGGTTGTCAGAGCAAGCGACTTTTACCAATGAGATCGTGGGTTTGATTCTCTCGTCGTTCATTCGTGTGAAAAGAGTCATGCTCTGCCGAAAGTCGTGGCTTTTCCCCGGGTGCTCCGGTTTACTCACATAGAAAGTTGATAGGGTGAGTAAGGATAAATACAGTTAAGAAAGTAATTTCACAATTGTTGTAAGGGATAAAATAGTTTAGGCTAAGCATGTAATTAGGTAAGCGTAATACTCGATGTAAAGCGCATTTGATCATATCCACTTGAATGTTAATTTGCGCTATAGAAATCTTTGATCTTAAACCTTTAATCTTAAGTTGATTTCGAATTTTTGTATCTTTCAGAGCATTGTGATCCTGCTTTCTTTTATACGAAGCTTCGCGTATTTTTATCTGGGTATGTTTGGCAGTAAACACCTACATCTGTACAGGATATAGCCATGTAAGGTTGATTAAATAAGTTTAGTGATGAAGCCAAATCCATAAATAAGACTTGACCTACGATTCCTAGGCCTGTAGGTCAGTTCGGATTTATGTTCGAGTATAAGTCCACCAGTAAAAGCATGGCAAGATATGGGGACTGAAATCTAGAGCAGTCTAGGAGTGTGTTTCCCCCAGAAATTTGAAAAATTGAGGATTGAAAATTATAGTTTTTGCACTATACTATATATGGCGCAAAATTTGAAGAAATTTTAGTCGAAATCTTAGTTAGTGATATTTCTTTATTTTAGTTCTAGATATTCACAATAAGTATTTGATCATTCGTATATAAGTTTTTATAATTTGCACTGATCCGGACATATGGGTCGTGAAGTTTGCCCAATTAATAATTGTACATGGTGTTACCGTGTTAGAGTATAGCACAGTTAATACTAGCGATCACATCATTATTGCATTTCAATCGGATTTTTTAAATGTTTCTTTTTTAAGGATTTATATTTCGGCAACTCGATCAACAGTGATGGTTTTAATTTGCTTGATAATTTAAAACAATGTTACGGAAACCTACGGTTTTATTTTAAATGTTCTCAATTTTTGTGGCTAGCCCGTTTGCGGGCTAGCCACTATCACATACACAAACGCGATGAGCGATGATGATGGTGTCCAGTCCGGATTTTCGTAAAGTATCTAGACGGCCAGCCAACCTCAATAAAAGTGTCTCTAAAATGTCATTGATGGCATTTTTTGTTACAAGCTGGCAACTGGCGTTTTCGTATAGCTTAGGCACTGGAGAACAACGTTTGATAGGTTGCCACCTCTGATATCGACTTTAAAGTGAAAAATTTTGAGAATCTGAAAATTTTGTCTATTAAAATTACTATACTCACTAAATTATGAAATTTGAAACCAACTTTCAGCAAAAATCACCTATATAATCAGAAAGTTCGGAAAAAAGTAGATATAGAACATTTAAGTGAGAAGTGTGAATTATAATCCTGTTTTCAGTTACGGGCGCTTAAAGTTGCTAAAAAACAGGTTTTGTGACGTCATTCACCGCATTTTACCTATTTTTAAGTGTCCATAACTCGAATTTGACTAAATAAATCGTATTACTCGTTTAAATGTCTTATATGTACTTTTTTATGTTCTTTCTAACGATATAAACGATGCTAATTTAAGTGAAATTCAAATTTCACATTTTTTTGGGAGTATAATAATTTAATAGGCAAACTGTTCAAATCCTTAAAACTTTCTCTTCGTTCGTTAAAATCAGACGTGGCAACATATCAAATGTGACTCACCAGTGTCTAAGCTATAAGAAAACGCTTGTTGTTTGCTTGTAACAAAAAATGCCATCGACAGTCATATTTTGATCGGCTGGCTGGCCGTCTAATCGGGAGCAATCGGAAGCGCCCGTATTTTTCTGCCGACATTTCACATTTGCATTTCGAGGCAATACTAGTGATGTTGTTACGACGCAGTTGTTAAACCAGAAAATTAAAATAAAGTTTATCTTCATGGCTTCAACCTATGGTGTCGAAACCGATCAGAAATTGCGCCTACTCGCCGTGTAAATATGGGTTTTGATTTGCACTTTTGACTGATTTGCCATCTTGAATTGTCTTCTTGTTGAGATTTCATATCTCAATTGCATTCGAAATGTTTGGTATTTTAAAGAAGGGGTATTGTGTGGAGGAGGTTTATAATGCAGCGAATAAAACCAGCATTGGATAATTATGGTAAAAGACCAGAAACTGTGCATCGAACTCGTTTATTTAAAGGCTTTAAGTATACCTTTTCTTCAGACATTGACGGCGTCTCAAATGTCTACATATTTGTAATAAACCTATAAAGGATTATTGCGTCTGTCTGTCTTAGGAGTTATATAGTCGAATAATTCAGCATGATTTGTCTCACGTTCTCTTATAAGTTGACTAATATTGCATAAAAGTGGTAAAAGTTGGTGTGCTAACCAAGATTTCAGTGTATTTGTTTGCTAATATTGCTAGGCCTATATCGCAAACGCTATTTGCCTATTAAAATATCATATGACACGCAATTTTAATTCCACGGCAAAACTGCTGTTGCGCAAATAACAAACGCGAGATTAAATATATATGACAGTATTACAGTTTAGTAATATTGCATTAAAAGTGGTAAAAGTTGGCGTGCTAACCAAGATTTCGGTGTATTTGTTTGCTAATGTTGCTATATCTCAAACGCTATTTGCCTACTAAAAATATATGACACGCAATTTTAATTCCACGGCAAAACTGCTGCTGCGCAAATAACAAACGCGAGATTAAATATATGGCAGTATTACAGTTTAGGTATCTTTTAAATTGCTAATAGATCACACGGAAACTTTTACAATCGTTATATTCAAAAGCCTAGCGTGCAAATTCACATATTTGTGTTTTATATTCAAGTGTTTGAATTCGCTATTTACATGGGAAGCGACGAGATATGACACGGTATTTTTCAAGTATACCGTGAAACTCCACTGACAAAATGAGCCCGCACAAGTGGGAGAAAATTTGCGCATTCTGACCATCGTGGTGTCTTCTTATTACTATTAAAGTTAACCAGCATGGCAGGCTTTCTGGGTTTGGAGGAGGGTTGGGGAGTTAAAGTTTACCAGGCTAGCCACATGTACGCATTGCGTACCTATTTTTTAAACTGTATACAGGAATAGCTTGTTAGTTGTTTGTTTACATTTTAAATCATATGTTTTTAATTAGTTGGAAGAACAGCAAGTCACTACCCGATGGAATTATTTATGAAGGAGTGAGCACGAAACCATTAAAGGTTTGCATTATCCTACACATTATAAGTTATAACAGCGGGGAATTTGGGGGTATGAGCGCTGATATACGCATTGGAGGAAATGACACTTCGTTGTGAGAAAGATTTCAAAGAAATCTCGAAATTACTGAATCGTGTAACGGTTCACGCAACGCTTTAAGGCATGTAACGGAGGTTATATGTACTGTATATGTATTCAAAGAACAGTAGCCGTTGCCTTCAAAAATAGGAGGTTCTAATTAAGCTGCTTTTCGCCTACGAACGTCACTATAAGTTTAGAAAAAAGTTGTGTCATTTTTCTGCGCGTGTATCTTCTCTTGTTTACTGATGTGTTGGTTATTGTAATAATATTGACATTCGTACGTACAAATATTAATTTAAAACGGGCTTAAACAAATATGAACTTCACCTTGCGGATCGATAATTCCATGTGCGAATGTAAATTCTTCTTCTTCTTTTTTTAATTAGTTTTCAGGAGCAAGTGGATCACAGAGTACTACATTCCATGCGTTCGATGCAGTTCTTGGCATAGTGCATTCTCGGAAAGGTATGACACTTGGAGATCCTGAGAAGAAAAGTATTCATTCGTGATAAACTCATTGCTGAGTACGCCCATGCAATAACTGATGCATGGCGATTCTTCATAAAGATTAGACACAGGGTGAACTTAACGACCAAAGATCCATGAATTACCATACATTCACACAACACGCAAGACCTATACGGTTCCTTGCAAGTTGCGGGCGACTGAAATGAGATCTGAATCAGTGAAGACAACCCGTGCAGCCAATCAGGAACTCGGAAATCTATTGCCTTGGTATTATTTTTCGTAGTCCATTTTTCGTGTCTTTTTGAAAAAAATGATAATAACTATAGCCGGTTTTCCACAAGCGATTTTTTTCGCGTGAAGGGAATTTATTCATTTGTCTTTGGGCAATTTGTTCAATTGTTCCAGATGGTTGCAGCTGAGAGCTCTAAAACAATAGCAAAATGTCGCTTCGGGCGAAAAAAATCGCTTGCGGAAAACCGGCTTTAATGAAACGCGATTTCAACTGACGTGAAGATGATACGATCAAAAACCGATAAACTGGTTTTGTCGGATATTTTACGTCGGTTTTTTTGCTGAACCGCTTCCGAGCCTAGTTCAAAGTTAACTCGGTTGGAACCCGGATTACTTTTCCTAGTGTAAATCTGGCTATTGCTTTAATTCTAGCCAAGTTTTCGGCTGAAAGCTGGGAAAACTTGGCCGAACATATGCTAAAACATTTAACGGTACAGCATGCAAGCAATATAATATGAATTTGATGATTGCCTTAGGCTTAGGGTGGAGGTTGGACTAAGAAAGTATATAGTTTGCGAGACATATTCGCACTTGGCAAGACCAAATATTTTAGGAAACATTTTAGCCTTTTAGCTTTCCAAAAAAGATTATTATATGCTTTGTTTGCAACAATGTTTACAAAGATGAGCATAACAGGGGCACATTGCGTAGAATTTACGGTCATGAATTAAAAGCCTGAAAAAGGGCACCACCGGAAAATTAAACTGTATATCCGTAACCAAAAAACGTGTGACTAACCTCGAATTATTAAAGAGGGACTGGATCGTGAGATTTTCGGGTCTGTTTTACTGCTTTTATACCTACATATATGTACTTCGTGCAGTTCTGCACGTTAAAATGTTTATTTACAACATAAGTTTGTCAATAAGTACCACAAACACTTTTGGTTAAATGTGCCCCAGCCATCTTTATCGTTATCATCAATTGAACTGAATTATGCTTTTCGGTGTCTCAAATCACACATATGATCAGTGTGTATAAGCGATATCATATTTTTTATTGCCTTGCTGTTAAGATGGTGAAAAGTCGTTTCTGGATTTCATGTTGGATTACATGCGACGCGGCCACAGGAAATTCGTACTGAATGTCCGAAAAGGACCCTCTGTCCGCAACTATGGTTTGTATATAGTAGTTCATTTTAGTGTTACAGGTAAACTACGCGAAGCGTTCCTCTTTTGACTTCCTAACTCATTTGGAATTTTCCTTATTAGCTTTGCAAATTTGAAAAACTCTTTGCAAATGCCTTGAGGGAATTTGCAATGTTCCTATCGGCTGTTGCAATATTCCAATGCAAAAAAGTTCATTTTAAATTTTCCTAACTTCCTGTTTTAATTTCCTGACTTCCTGTTCTGTTTTGAGCGTTGTCATTGGTTGATTATTTTTGTTAGCCAATTGCAACACGCAGAACAGAACAGGAAGTTAGGAACTTGTAACAGGAAGTTAAGAACTTCTAACAGGAACTGAGGAAAATTTTATCGGCTTTTAGCAACATTGCAACTTTCTTCAAGGGATTTGCAAGGGAGTTTTCTGATTTGCAAAGGTAATGAGGAAAATTGCAATCAATTTAGAAACTCAAAAGAGGAACGCTTGACGTAGTTTACTTGTAAATATACTACGCTATAATTGCAAGTATAGTGAGCATGATAATCGGTTTATATTAAAGGCACAGCAATTTTGAATTAGCAAATTTCTGACACAGACCTGTCATAGTCATGCATAGACAAGGAAATGTATTCGCGGAAAGTTGGTGAACAGAAACAAAGTGGACCCTTGTTTCACTCTGTGCAATATCGAGTCAGAGTAAGAATATGTGCATCAGAATAAGACATAGGCCACATAGCCTTTGATGGTCATTCCAGATTCTGCATGAATAGCTAATAAAGACCGGTTCTTGGACAAAACGGTTTGCGCATGCGCGAGTTGAATTGGTCGGTCGGCTCTAGCTCATTTTGGTTAATACTTCATGTAAGGCAAATTATAGTGGATCCGGGCAAGCTCGGGCACGCCTAGGATCGCCTTCCCGGAATTCCGCCTTCCCGGAATAGAATCGACTCCACCACTTCCGGTTCTCCAGTTCCCTGCGCCGCCCATGCCTGCCGGACCCCTCCCCCGTCCTCCCCCGTCCTCGCGCATCCGTGCCCACGAACGCGCAAGCACCCCCGCACGCACACGCATGCTCTGACAATCTCGCCACAAATTCCCGCGGGTGTTGACCCGATGAATTTCGCCATCCGCCACATTCTACGCGGGCCCACCGCATCCACCGCACCCGCATGCTTGTTGGGGTTTTCGGTGGAGATTTTTTTTTGACAGAATCAACTTATAAGCAATTAGAATTGTATAATAAATAACCATGTCAATTACCAGAGTATCAGACTTCTCCGAGGACTCGTTTAAATTTGTAGACCCTGTCAAGGACAGGTTTGGATCCGAGAGGATCGGACTTGTTGCGGAGGGTGGTGGTCCACTGCTACTTAGGCTGAAAATTGTCTAACCTATGGAATCAACAAGAACAATAAGTTCGGAAAGGACAACTACACAATTCCGTTGGCAGTTGGACTACACACGGAATTCATATCAGCTCTGGAAGTATTGGAGAAGAAGTGTGCTGTAATGGTTGGTAAGTCGGGTACCAGCGTGATGAGATGCTTCTATCGGAGTGGGAAGCAGCCCGTCCTGTACGCAAAGATCGATAAGACTACGGTGATGTATGGAGAGGACGGAGACATGAATCCGATGGAGGAGCGTGACGAACACTTCTACCTGGATGCTTTGATCAGGATTTCGAGCATATACCTATCCGGAAACACGACTTCCGTTCAGGTTAAGCTTCAGGAGGCAAAGTATCTGAGGGTAAAGGTTGCAGAACCGTGGAAGAGGCTTCTGTAGATCCGATTAAATTTTAATGTTCCTTCGGATATTAAAATCAGTTTGTTGAGATTCCTATTGCCTTAGGTCCTTGTGTCCTATTGCCAAGGTGTGTATTCCATCTTCGCAGATGATACGTTTGTCGTCGCTTGCCGATAGGGCCACCTTGACGATCCTTTCGGTATATATTTCGTGTAGCCTACTCCTGAAGACGTTCATTCCCCTCCACTGTTTCTCGCCGCTGAAGAGACATTCCTTATAGTTGTCGAAAGTTTTTTCCTTTTTGATGGTTGTCTTCTTGACGCCTTTACATTTCTTTTCTTCCTTTCCGTCTTCCGCCATTTTGTAGGCATACAGTTTCGCCCTAAGTCCTACGAATTCTCCGATCTGTTTTTCTCCTGTTTCCAATTTCATCATTCCGATAACCTTCTTGTTTATTCCGGTCGGAATTCCGGAGGGGTGGTTTTTACCGATGTTGCTGGTATCGAATTTTTCGTAAACATCTTTGGAAATGTCCTTGTAGAAGTCCTCGGTGGTGATTTCGTAACACAGGGAGTCCATGTCTTTGAATAGGAGTTCGGCATCGTTTTTATACATTGGTTTGAAGTAGTTATAGTGAAAGTAGTACATGAGGGTTTTGCTAATGTCCAGGATATATACTCATTCCGAGGTAGATGGGTTTTCTTAGTTTTACGGAGGTTCTCCTCATATGAACTGCCACCAGATTTTCCGAAAAGATGGTTACCGACTTGAAGTTGTGTTTCTTGGATAGCTTGTTCCATTTCTTTTCATCGTTGACGATTCTGATGTCGACTCTGTTCCTTACGTTTTCCATGGTCTTTCCGAATACGGAGTTGTTCATGAGCTTGAAGAAGTCCTTTTCGAAGTCCGTGGTTCCTTTGGTACGAAGGTCTGTGTTGAGCTGTATGTATTCTTTCATCCAGTCCCTTTCGAGAAATTTTACTCCTCGATGTATTTTGGTTAGCTTTAACCCCAGGTTCAGGTACTGTTTTAGGTTTGTGTGGTGTAGGACGTATTTTTCCCTGTTGTTGAGGTTGGGTATGAGCTTTTCCGTTTTGTTGACCATTATCCTTTCGGGTGCTAGGGGGTATTCGTTGTGTAGGTTGTGTAGTTCGTCCGGATATTCGAGGTCCACTTCGAGGATGCAGCTGTGTTCCATCCATTTTTCCAACTCGTTGTCGTTCATCCATTTGAAGTCCTTGATGGGTAGGGGCTGACTCATTGCCCATCCGTATAGGTTGTTTGCGTCCAGGTAGGG